TTTAATTCTCTTGAATCTCTTCAATAGTTCTTAGATTAATTCTCAGCCGAAGCCGGGTAATGGCCCCGGCATCTCAAATGACTTGTGCAACTCTATATGGGACGCTGGGTCTGGTTCCCAGCACGTGCTGCTCCCCACGAATAGACTGGAGCATTTGTCCAAAAAATAAATAAATAATTTAAAATAAATAAATAAATAAATAAATAAATAAATGGATAAGCATTATCAAGCTCGTACCGAGAAAGCGAACTAGAAAATCTGATAGGAGATCGAGAAAGTTGTCGGTGAACCGAGACGCGCGAGAGGGGAAAAGGAGCCTGCCATCGACGATCAGAGCAATCGGAAACGGTCTCAAGACAAAATCGAGGGTTCTCTCCCTTCATGTCGGTGTCGTGCAAGGTCCGGATGTCAGAAGTTGTTTACTCGAGGGCTCTGCTTATGAGTACGCTTGAAGTTGGTCCCCTTCTGATGGAGGTTAACAATGTTAAAAGGACACGAGACATGCAAGTTGGCAAAAAAGTTGGGTTAGTCAGACATACGATGGAGTTAGTTGATAAGTTAGGATCGTCTCTATCGGCTTATACCGTAGGGAATAAAGCCCCTACCGCTCCTCAACCCCCCCCACTCATCATCTTCCCCTTCCCACTCCTGCCGCTTCGCCTGCCTAAGCTCTCCCTCCCCCTCCTACTAATTTTGCAGACCTGTCGTTTTCCTTTGCTCCACCTCCTCCTCCTCCCCCTTCCCCCTCCTGTTCCCCCTCCTTATCCTGTTAAGAATTGGGTTCCAGGCTCTGTGGCTGGCTCTTCTCGTGGTAAGAAAGCCGATAGGACCCACTTGGCCTAAGGTTCTCTGCGGGGCTGCCCGATATGCTTGCTTCAGTTGCTGGCAACGCCTCTCGCAGGTTGTCCATCTTGGCGATTGGGAAGGAAGTCCCTTGGGATTTAAACAAAGTTAATGCCGGCAAAAAGGCTATTGTGGCTTCATCTGGGAAGGATGGTCAGGTCAAGGCCGTAAAGTATGTAGAAGACCTTAAGAAGAATTTTTTTTTTTTTTTTTTTTTTTTTAAACACGCCCCCGTCAGTGCTAGTGGTGCTGATAAGAGCAGATACCACTATCACCTAAGAAGGAATATAAACAAGTCGAAATACCAATTGGAGATTTTGTGCAAGGCCGATAAGCATTCGGGCAAGTAGGGATTGGACAACATCGTGGCGGATGCTCAATAAGAGAATCCTTCTCGATGATCTGTGGATCTCGCCCGCATTTCGAAGTACTAATCATACTATGTCTTTGCGGGTCAAGACCGTGAGACGAGATAAGGATTGGGTAGACATGGAGGCATGAATGAGATCTTGCTTGTGATGTTGGCATGCTATGGACAAATATCTTGGGTTGGTATTTGGCTTGACCTGTTTTCCTCTGTCTCTCCTTTTTTTTTGTGCGACTTGTACTGGTTTTACTACTCGGATGATTTCTGTTATTTCTCACAATGATAATGAAAGGCACAATCACCGGCTCAAGTAATGGTTTCCGAAGAAGGGAGCCTTTTCTTATGGGGCAATTCTGGTAGTCTTTCCTTTTGGTGACAAACTTACAAATGTTGAAGTGTTGTTTATCTCGCAATGGTCCCAAACACTAAATTCTCGTATTAAGCGTTGCCAAAAGAAAGGTAGGAGGGAGTGTGCCTCCTATCACAGGAAGATGGGTTTCTGTCCTTTGGATGGACACCTTGTCGATCGTATCGTAGGCTTCTCTCTCAATCCCCAATCATTCTCCTCCAATATGGACCATCCCTTCTTACTTGCTAATCCGTCTTTTGAAAGGTTGTTTTGAATAATGGCACGAGAATGATTATCGTTGCGGCTCAAGGGGCCAATGTCCTATTGGACAGATGCAGTTGTATTAAGCAGTTATTTGGTTAGAGTTCGGTCACTTTCAACAGTGGATCCTATCTTTCGAAAGATTTCATTCTGACTTCGTTGAATGTTGGGGTGTTCCACTAATCTCATTAAGCTTTTCAACACCCTTAATCTCGTTTGTGCTAACCGCTCCGAAGTGTCATTGAGAAGGATAGTGGGAGATGCTCCCTGTAGAAAGGCAGCTTTTAACTTTTAACTTTGTTTCGCCTTTCCTTATCATAATCTTGTGTGAGTGTCGGGTTAGTAAAGCTGGAGTGGTGCAGGTAACTACACGATTTATCAAACAGTCTGTGGATGTATTGTGCCTTGCCGAATTCATCATTTCCCGAATCCATATCGTTTGGACGAGCAATAAGTCTATTGGCAAAAGGATCCATAACTATAGACTCTTCTCCAGGAAACCATCTCCTCCCTGCTCCTGTTCTTCTAAGACCCTCTCTGTTGCATACTGTAACGTGCAGACCAGAACAAGAACCGACCTCTCAATACAAATACAAGATAACACAGTGGAAGACTTAGATACGAATGATCCGAACAATCAATATTGCAATGCAGCCCTGAACACACATCATCATCATCGTTATCTGGTGTGAGGGGGGGGTCTGGCGCTTTACACAWGAAGACTGCGCCAGCCCCAACCATACACAGACGAAGAAGGAGGGGTTAGACGAAGAGGAGGGGAAGATGGGAATGTCGTCAACACCAAGTCTCGGTACAGGCCCAAATAGTCCCTCGTCGAAATGTCTGAATCCCAAATGTCCAGTCTGGATCCAATGTCGTCAAGTCTCAAGTCACAACTCTTTCTCTCTCTGTCGTAGTCTGAGAAGTCAGGTGGCGAGAGGGTGAGAAGAGATGGTGGACTTAGAARAGGAAGAAGAARAACTCTCTCTCTCTCTCTGTGTCCAGTACTAACCTGTGAAGTTGGCGCCTTGATGCAGGTACCACGAAGATGGAGCTGGAGCGATGGCGCCACAGGTAAGTACCATTGGCCTCCGCCAGTATCTCTCCCAACTCTACGATCTACCACCTACCAGCGCCCAGCGCTGAAGACTACTCTATGGCTATGGGCGCCCAGCGCCGAATACTACAGCTAGCGTTAACTACTGCCTAGCGCTGAAGACTACTGCAGCGCTCCTCCTGGGTGCTGCCTGAATCCTGAAGACTACTCGTGCCTACTGTGCCTACTGACTCTACCTACCCGTGAAGTGTCTGGGAAGTCCTATGTACTACCACGGGTGCCTCCTGACTGCAGGCGAGCAGTCCAGGAGGCTGCTCTTGCCAATGCCGATCGGAGGCAGGGGCTGCCGCTGCAGCTCCTGCTCAAGGTCGTGGGAACAGGCTATTTCTGGCCTGTTCCTGAAACCCTGTTTCCATGCCTGAGTCTTAGGGGCGGTTGAAAGAATGAGGGCCTGAAAATGGCCCTCCGTTTCAGGCTGGAAAAACTCTGGGTCTGAAAGACCCAGAAATAGGCTGAAACGGAGTAGGGCCTGCAGACCCTCGTTTTTCAGCTTTTAGGCTGAAACGACCGGGGCCTGTAAGCCCTAAGTTTTAGGCTTTTAGGCTGAATGTCTGGGACGGGCCCTGCAGGGCCCGTGTGGCTACGCAGTATGCCACCCCCCCCCCTCCTTGAAGAACCGAGCTTACCTGCGAGGGTAAAGTTGTCTGTCTGAGGGAGGGACCACAATCCGGGTGGGAGGGGCTAATCGTGAAGCTTCCTGAGCTAACCTCCGATTTTCATAATGTGCGTAGATCAGCGGTGTGGATGCTTTCAAATCTGCGCCTGAAATCCACCGAGTGTTGTCGCGATCGCATGCTTTGAATGTGACTTTGTATTGCCGCGGCTTGCTGCCGTACTTGAGATCGGTGATGACGCGGTCAACTTCCTGATGACCATCCATAGAAGGAGGGTCCTACGATCGTCGGCCCGGAAAGTCGTCGCTCTTGGCTGGCGTGTATGTTGCCATCTTCGAGGCGTGGAAGACCGGATGGACCGTCAGATGCTTTGGAATGTTTGATCACAAATGAAGGGCCATCGGGCTCAACGCCCGCGGCTGCTGTCACAGACCAAGGTCCAAACCACTTGGGAAGCAGTTTGCGTGAAACATCCTGTTCCAGTGCAAACTCTTCCGCGGAGACCCAAACCAGATCACCGGTGCGGATGGAACATGGTACGCGACGCCTGTTGGCTTGCTGCTGCATGCGGACTTGAGCCTTTTGCATGTTTGCGCGGGCTTGAGTCAGCAATTCCCTGTACTTCCGGACGGAAGCGGGAGAGCAGGCAGCGTCAATGTCGGCTGGTCGAGGGAGGAGAAGGTCGGCGAAGATTCGGCCTTTCTGTCCACCGTGGTCCAACTCGAATGGAGTCACGTCGATCACCGGATGTACCGAAGTGTTGTAGGCAAACTCGATGTCGGGGAGGCGGTCAACCCAATCTTACTGGTCCGGACGGATGAGCGTACGAAGCATCATTTGAGCGGTTTGATGTGCCCGCTTCGTCTGCCCATCTGTCTGTGGATGCCGAGCCGAACTTGGTTTCATCATCGTGTCGGACTCCTGCATGAGAGCAGTCCAAAACGCCGACATGAAACGAGTGTCGCGGTCGCTGACAATGTCTTCTGGTACACCGTGGCCACAAATCCAACCAGTGTGAAGGAGGCGTGCCAGCTCGGGAGCCGTGGAGTAGTACTTGCAAGGGAGAAAACGCGCGTACTTACTCAATCGGTCCACAACCGTGAGGATGCCGTCGTGCCCGAGCCGGTCGTGGGGAAATGGACCGGTGACGTCCATGGCAATGGAGAGACCAGCTTCCCGTGGGATAGGCATCGGGTGTAACTCGCCGTAGGGATTGCGGTTGTGGGGCTTGCTGCGTCGGCAAACTTTGCAAGAGTCGCAATACCGAGTGACGTCGGTAATGAGATCGGGCCATCGGAATCGCTGTCGAAGCCGTGCAATAGTGCGGTTGACTCCGAAATGGCCGGCGAGTCGCGAATCATGATACTCGCTGAGGGGGCGAGTCCGAAGACGGAGGTCGCGTGGGACACATAGTAAGTCCTTGCCTCTCGAGTGGAGGAGCAAGTACCCGTCGGCAATGCGATAGTGGGCCATTAGTCGCTGGCCGGCGGGTGATCCGAAGATAGCTGTGCATACAGCGTGGCGAAGTCCGGATCAGACTCGTATGCCCGGATGAAGTGTCGCTGAAGCTCCTCGTCGAATGCGAAGGCATGATGTGTCATAGCACAAAGATGAGGTCTTCGCGAGAGTGCATCTGCTGCGCGATTTGAGAGGCCGGGAAGATGTTTTAGTGTGAAGTCAAACTGGTCGATGAAGTACATCCATCGTCCGATCGTGCTGCTCACCGTATCTTGCGTCTTGTAGTAGGTCAATGGATTGTTGTCCGTAACCCATGTGAACCTACGACGCCCAAGGAGGAAGCGCCGCCATCGCTTGAGAGCCATGACGAATGCGAGCAACTCCTTCTTCCTTGCATCATCAAGCGAGTTGATGGGAGACACTTTGTGGCTGAAATACTCCACAGAACAGCCATTTCGTCAAAACGGACATATTATATTTTTTGAACGAAATCAAAACTGACTTTTTTTGCCAAAATCCGGTCGAAATGTTTTGCTCCTGGGGGTCCGGCGTTCCCAGAACGCCGGACCTCCTACATGTATCTGGTCTATGGTTGAGACCAGATACAAAAAAAAAATAAAAAAATAAAAATAAAAAATTGTATCTGGTCTCAACCATAGACCAGATACATGTAGGGGGTCCGGCGTTCTGGGAACGCTGGACCCCCAGGAGCAAAAAATTCCGACCGGATTTTGGCAAAAAAAGTCAGTTTTGATTTCATTCAAAAAATATAATATGTCCGTTTTTACGAAATGACTGTTACAAGGTGCCAGTCGTCGCTGTCGTGCTGTTCCAAGACTGCCCCAATGCCATAGCCGGAAGCGTCCGTAGTCACTCGCGTCGGCAGGGTGAGGTCATAGATGCCAAGGACGGGTGCCATGAGCATGGCCGTCTTAAGTGCTTGGAATGACCGGCGTGTGTCGTCATCGAATACGAATGGCACCTTTGGCGACTATAACCTCATCATAGGTGCAGCAATCCTTGAGTATCCGGTGATGAATCGCTGATAGTATCCCGCCAATCCCATGAATGAACGAACGTCCGTGGTGTTGGTGGGCTCGGGCCATACTCGTAGGGCCTCGATCTTGTCCGCAAGCGGACGGATGCCTTGCGGCGTCACATAATGTCCCAAGTACTCCAGCTCCTGTCGTGCGAATTCGCACTTGTCGCGGCTGGCCTTGTACTTGGCTTGTCGTAGCTGCTCCAAAACGGTGCGCAGGTGTTCCACATGCTCCTCCAAACTCCGGCTGTACACCAGGATGTCGTCGAGGTAGATAAGTACGTATC